ATAGATAGATAGATAGATAGATAGATAGATAGATAGATAGATAGATAGATAGATAGATAGATAGATAGATAGATAGATAGATAGATAGATAATTGCCTCACCATGCCGGGTTCCCTGTTGTTTTGGGGTAAAACCTGATGTCATTTTTGACATTAAATAAAGTATCATCATCCGTGAGGGGAGGAAGGTCAACCTTGAATAAAGGATGCTCAAASAGAGCGGCCAGCCGGGAGACAGTGGGGGCCGAGGCGGCCCGAGCCCCGCTCCCGTTCCCGATCAGCGCCCTGTGCTCCTTCCAGCCGCCCGCCGCGGATGAGGGGCTCGTCCGCCCGTGGGGGTCCGCCGCCTCGTCCCTGGTGGTGGCCGCCGGGTTGGCTGAGATTTTCTCCAGCGAGCGGGACGTGAGGTTGGAGTTCGGCTCGTTGCTGAAATCCTGCAGGAGTCTGAGCGCGTGCATCTGGTTAGGCCAGCCGGCRTCTGCGCGCGGCTTCCCCCAGCCCTGCGCCTCTCCGGCCGGGTGCTGCGCGCACTGACAGCCGCTGTCCGCCCCGGCGGCTCTCTTCTCCAGCTTGGGCAGCAGGTCTATCATGATGTGCAAAGTGCACGCGACCAAAAACACCGTGAGGATCAACACTCGGAATTTGCGGAGCAATATCATAATTGTTTGTTTATTCCTTAAAAAAACAAAAAACAAACAAGCTTCTGACACTGATGTCCAATTGTTGCTTTTAAAAAAAGGCAAAAAGAGCCGCAGCTTTATAGTAAAAACTCCGTCATGTTTGACAGTCTGTGTGTACACAACAATAGTCCCAGACAGGTGAGCGCATTGTTAGGAAAACCTGAACCCGTTCTTGGACCAGGACAGGGTGTCAGGAGGACTGAAGACTGGGTGAATGTTTGATGAAGTGAACCAGAAAGACAGATGAGTCCCGTTAAACGCATCGAAACCTTCCGGCGCAGAGTCAAACGTCTTTAAAATTGAAATTAAATAATAAATAATATAAAAAAACAAGCAGGGGATTAAAGCTCTCCGATTCAGGATGAATGCGTGACCAAAAGGAGAAATATAATTTAAAACAAAATTCCCCCATAAACCGTGCAGGTCAATGGAAAGATGCTCGGATGCTGCCCCACTTCTTGTTCTTGTTCTTCCGGATGAGTCTGAGAGCTGCTCCGGCAGGTGTTTGGGTCCTGGTCGTGATTTGGTTCCGTTCCTCCTTCCTTCCACGCTGCTTTTGTCCTCACCTCCAAAAAGCTCCCATCCAGGGTGGGTCTGTTAAATCTGAGGATCGAAGACATCTGAGCCCAGCCTCAGTGGCGTCATGAGGACAGAGATTGGCTGCGCCTGCACAGAMCACCGACACAGACAGAAGAGGCTGCAACTCTCCTGACCGCCGCTAGAGGGCGGCGGTGCAGCCTCTCACACAAACACACACACACTGACACACACACACCTGCAGGTGCTTCGTTACAGAGGGCAAGAAAGTACCCATTCTTACAGTTGGACCCTTGAGGATGAGCAAAAGAGATTTTCCTGCAAATTGGTTGAGTTGTTGAATTTTATTGTCAGCTTATGGCAGATGTTTAAGACCAGAAGAAATCTGAGTTTTGTCACTTTGTCTAACCTGAAGAATGGGTTCCCTTGTTTTTAAGTGTCTCCTAAAGCAGAAAACTTTTTTAAAATAACAGAGCAGTACATATGCATGTTTTTTATATGTGTTTATGTTTTACTAAATATATTATAGGACTTGGTCCAGATGGTCATCTTCTGTACTGAAGTGGTGTACATATGTTTTATATATTTTATTATATTTTTCCTTTAYCCTTTGTTTTTTCTTCATTTGTTATATTTTGATACCTATACCTACCTGATTCTGATTCTAATCAGAAGGTCGGAGGTTTGATCCCCAGCCCAAGCAGCTTGTCCACATAACTTTGAGTAAAGCACTGAGACCCCACCTAGCTCTATTGCTCATCCCACAACTGCATGTTCCTTACAAATGTGGCACTATTTTAAAGGGAAATTTACAGGTTTTCCAACTGTATAAGATTTATTGCCAAAGAGGCATTGTTGCAACAAAGAAACAATCTACCAAACACAAATTTCCTTACTTTTTTGTTCTAAGTTTATATAACAGCAAGTATAGGGTTGAATGAGGAACTCTGTGAAGCTCTTTGCAGATAAGTAGGTTGAAAGTTGTCTGCGTTTTTTTATCTTTTATTTTTTAATGAACTGAAGGTAATATTCTTATCTGTTTGTGTACATAATTTTTTAATCTTGTGGGGACAATTTTTGACCATTTTCCTAATACACACAGCCTTGTGTGGACCCATTGATCCTTACAGGGACAAAAGCCTGGTCCCCATGAGTTTAAGGTCTGTTTTTGAGTGAGGAGTTATGTTTATGACTAAGATGTGAATGGGGTTTAGGTTAGATTTGTACTGAGGTGGTTAGATTTAGGGTAAGAGGTCAGGGTTAGGCAATAGATGACCAAATGAAAGTTAATGTAATGTTCCCATGAGGGTAGAACAACAATGTGTGTGTGTGTGTGTGTGTGTGTGTGTGTGTGTGTGTGTGTGTGCACGCATGCACACCACTTTTGAGTCAGATGATCATTTGCAAAGACTAGATGTGTGTTGTAAGACTGTTTGCATGTTTGTTCTGCGATTTGTCCCCAGTTTAAAAGTGATACAAAGGAGATGCTGCAAATCTACAACAGATTGTTTTATTGAGCTGCAAGAAAGGTTTTACATCCTGACTTGTTCAAGATGACTAAAATTCACTCTGGAATGTGTTCCAGTCTGACTATCTGTTAGCTCACTCATCCATGGAAGTTATTCAAATCATTAAGTGTTATGTACTGCAGGTTAGATATTGACTGCTGATAACCTTTCCATAGAAACCACTTTAAAAAAATCTAACAAGCTTTATTAATAATCCATCCATCCATCCATCCATCCATCCATCCATCCATCCATCCATCCATCCATCCATCCATCCATCCATCCATCACCTGCTTCTTCCTTTCAGGATGACGGGGGTCACTGGTGCCCATACTCATCAGTCACTGTGCGAGGGGTGGGGTACACCCTGAACAGGTCACAAGTCCATCACAGGCTTAATCAGTCATGTTTATTTTGTCTTGCAAAGCCTACAAAATGCTTACTTATTCTGTTGCTTCAGAGCTTGTAACAATTTAATTAAAACTGAAAGGATTAGTCTGATTGTCAAGTTGTTTAATCAAGACTTGTAATTTAATCACATTTTAGTTTATAAAAGTCACTGAAWACAATAACCTTTAGACCCTCTGTGGTAGAAAATAACCTTGTTTSGCAACATTCCAACACTTTTTACACACATGAGCCTTTTTTACAACAGAAGAGGATAAACGTCTCAAAAAGGCATTAAATAATTGCTTTAAATGTTTAAATAAGTCATATACTAAATTTTCTCTTTGTACTTTATTTTAAACTTTGTTTAATCAGTTCACTTATTGTTCTCAAACATTATCCCTCAATTTGAGTCATTTTTTCAGTCCAAACACACCCACGTCTCCTCAAAGGTTATTTACTTTATTTCCTGACTATATTTTCTTCTGTGCAAGCAATGTTCATATTAACTTCAGGAATAGAAAACATCAAAAGCAATTATTGCAGTTGGCACCTATGATTGGGCTGGACTAAGTCGCTGTCTAACTTGATTTAAATAACACTCTAAATGCCATGGAATTTCAGTTTGCCAACTGCGAGGACTTTTGCCTGCCAAAGAGAGAAAAAAATGGCAAAAGTCTATTTAAACGTTTTCTTTTTAGCTCAGTCMAATTAAGTAAAGTTCTGTAATAAGCAAAATATGCATATTTCTTTGGCTTGTACGTGCTCGCTTTTGCACGACTCGTCGTGCAAACCCAACTGGAAAAGCTTTTCTTGGCTTCGGCTCTTTGTCCCCATAGGTGTCGAGTTGAGGTTTGTGCTGCAAGAAGATATGTTCGTCTAAATAAAACAGGATCTTTAACATTAACATGCAAACAAAATGTTTTCACAAGCACAAGATTGAAATAAACGGGAACTAAAATAATAACAGCTCTGCACAGACATGTTGGAATCTTCTCTGACACCAAAAATGTACTAAGGGAATGATAAACAGTAATTTGTAGCAATACTAGGTAAAAAATGTTAATTACATAGAAAGAAATACAAGTTTATCGTAAAATCTGTCTGGTCCTGCAAGTGTAAAACTGTTTCTTTTGGCATAAAGTGCATGAAACAAAGACCTGAGCTCCTATGACATAATCCAGGGGTGTACTCCCCCTGGAAATTTTGTAAAAATCTACTCAAAACTCTGCATTTTCCAGCCATTTGAAGATAATTTTACTAAATTCCTGGGATTAAAAAAACAACATAAAATCAGTGAAGGTATGACACTGAAAACCGGACTTTAACCTGAGCTTCTATCATAACTRAAACTTCCATTATCATTACTGTTGTCTATTTACACACTGAGCACCAGTTAGTCTTAACTGCATCATATGATACTTTTATCATGAACTCTGCACCATATAACACCTCTTGTAGTAACAAAGCAGCAGAGAAACCCACAGAACAAGTTACCTTCATAAACTTGAGAAACCAGTGATTATTCTACAGGTTCAATGAAAGTATTTTTWTTTGTCCCTCATTTGTGGTGCCTCCTAGAAGGATGGAGCCCTTAGCATTTATACTGCCGACACCGCGGGCCGGCCCTACATTCTCATTACACACTATGAGAACTAACATGCCTCATGAGATCTTACAATATTGCATGAAATTGCACAGAATTCAAAAGTTTGATCAAAAATTGTTTGAACTCTGTCATGTTTCTGATAAAATGGTGTTTAAAACTCTGACATGAAAGATGACGGGTGATATGCATTCCTTAAAGGTATTCTAAGCCTTTGTTGAATTTAATAAGCTTTGGGTAAAACTGAATTTGTGAAATAAAGAAAAATAAACTCATACTATAGATTCCAGTCTAGTGTGGAATCCACCAATAAATGTTTTTATGTCTGCGTGTTTGAAGGTTTGACCCCAGGGCTCGTCTACACCTCGGGTTAGACGCAAATAGTGCAAAGTTCAACTCGACTTCCCCAACCTCATTGATGACAAACTAGTCTGCAAAGACAAAGTTATAAAACACTGCCGACCAATAACTTTGACACCAGATGAAGGTAAAACACGCGTCTGGTCCAATAAATCAGACGCGTTTCCTGAGGGAGCAATGCTGAAAAATGATGACATGTTTATATGGCTGTCTTCCATAAAAAAAAGGCACTAAATTCCATCAGATTGGGCTCTGTTGAGCCTAAAGATTTATTAACGGGTAATTTTGTGATGAAACATAAGTGGATGTGCAAATACTTCACGAGTACAGAAGGTATAATTGGAGAATAATTGGATGAAGAAAATGTTTTGAAWTGGAGGATCACTGGGTACGGCAGGCTGGATAAAAGTCAAGACTGAACCAGTGACTGAAATGGAGATAGAGAAAATGAGTGTAAGGTAATGACACATTTATACACTTGACTAAGAATAAGATGAAAATGGGCTTCTTTGGGAATATGTAAGGGGGACAACGTGTGAAAAGGACACATTACTATTGTAATGTCTGTAATCTGGTAAAAAGAAAATCCACATTTGAACAGATGGCTAAGGAATATCAGTATATTGTTAAAAAAAGTAATTGTGGAAGGTACGAAGGTAGAGCAGGGCTATTCAACTGGCAGCCCACGAGCCACATCTAGCCTGTGGGGGGCTTCTGTCCGGCGTTCCGTCCTTTTTTTTTATTCAATATAAAAATATATTTGAAACCAGTTGTAAATTTAAAATGTAAAATTCAGTGCAAAAAAGTAAACAAATTTAAGTTAAGGTAAAAGATTATAATACTTGTTCTCATATATAT